AACTCTAACACGTTCGTGCCCCCCCCCCCCCCCCCCCCTAGAAACCCCTTTAACCCAAAGCTTAAAAAATCCTCATACCACCAACAAGAAGACTGAGACAACACTGTATAAACCCCATCCAAAGCAAAAGCTCTAAAACCTAAACCCTAAACCTAGCCTGGAGAAGTTCGACGGATTGTAGTCGACGTCGTCCTTCGCCATCCTGAAAGCCGACTCGCCGTGCTTTGGCGGCTTTCTGCTCGCGGGGCTTCGGGTTGTAGGATGTAGGACTTTGGGTTGGGTGTTTAGGGCTTAGGGCGTTTAGGGTTTGGGGTTGAGTGTTGAGGGGTTTAGGCTTCAGGGTTTAGGGGTTTAGGGGTTTAGAGGTTTAGAGGTTTAGGGGTTTCGGGGTTGAGGGTTTAGGGTTGAGGGTGTAAGCTATACAAACAATTGTGAGGGCGGGTATAGATATAGAAGTAAGTATAGATACAGGTACAGACACACATGTCGATGTCGGTTTTGAAAGTTGTGGCTTTAGACATCGATATAGGAAAAAAAGACCTACATGAGAATTGCGATAAAGAGGTGACACAGAACATACACACAGACATAGGCATAGATTTAGGTAGAGTTGCAGACACAAATACAGACAGAGAAATAAACAGATTTAGATTTGGATTTGGATATAGCTATCAAAGACATAGAGACAAATACGGATAATTAGAATAAACAAAAAGCAAAGTAAAGTCCATGACTCTGAAGCTCTAAACCGACGGCCCTCACTAAAATGCCAGGAAGCATGTGCATGATGATGCCATACCTCAGGGCAGGCGACTGTCTCCAGCGCTAGGGCCATAGGCCGCTCTCTTCAGGATTACTGCTTCGGTGGCTAAACCCCCAAACCCAAACCACAAACCCTAAACCCTAAACCCCAAAACCCAAACCCTAAACCCTAATCCCCAAACCCCAAACCCCAAACCCTAAACCTTAAACCGCAAACCTTAAACCCAAAACCCCAAACCCTAAACCCCAAGGCCCCACTCAAACCCCTTGGAGCTCGGAAACCGTCAACCAACCTACTAAAGGGACGTGGACAATGACTACTACTTAGGGTTTAGGGTCTAGGCTGAAACACCAAACCGTATATCGGCCAGTGGGCTGGTGCTCGCTGATCATCCCAGCACGGGAGGGCGTCATGGACCAAACCGTCTTGTCCTTACTTCGCATAATCCTCACGGAAGATTCATCGACGGTTTTTTGACTTCAGGACTTAGGCAACGTCATGACTACTAACTGCTACTACTTTGCAAGGACTGAAACGACCGAGAAACAAATAAAAAAAGAAAAGAAAACTGTGTTGGAGAGCCAAGTGTCAGCCCAGAAAACGACCAGCCTGCAAATCAGGGCCGGGTCCGAGATTTCAGGCTCGGGATCTAGGGCCGCAAGGTTCTGGGATGCAGGGATCGGGCCATCTCCGTGTCGCTGGACAGAGGTCCGCCCATCCTGTTTGTGTTCTCAGCAGCTGTCTGAAACTGTGCAGCGGGCCTAATATCAATGTAGTGGTGTCCATGCTGGGAGATTGCTGCCGCACTCACACTCGGACTCCCCAGGCAAGGCATCTTCGGGCTCGGAGTTTCGGGCTCGGGGTAGTCGAGCGAAGGATATGAGGAGTTGAGGGCTTGGCATGACGACCTTTCACTTTCTGCCCCCAAACCCTTTTGCATCCAGGACTCTGTTTCGAGGCCCTAAACCCCCAAACCCTGAGCGCCGCGACGCCAGAAAGGTGAAACCTTCAACCCGAAACCCCCGCCCAGAGCTTACAGTGTTGCAGGAGTCCCCACCGAAAAAAAAAAAAAACTAAACCGGACAAGAACCTTAGCACCTTTTGCTCGCTTGAGTTAGGGGTGACGAGGCATCCCGATAAAACTCTAGCAAGGTCTTGTGGTTGACCTACTACTTCCCGGTCGCTTCCTCTACGGGAACCTTCAGACAAGCTATGGTCAGGAAGCACAAGAGGAGGCCCTAAATTATGTAATGTAGGGGGTCTCATTAACTAGAACATGGTTTGGGGGGTCCTCTATAGTATAAGTATGATAAGCACCCAATAATCTTAGCATTTATTTAAAAGTTAAGCTTCTATAATCGCTTGAGGTGTTGGTACATACGGTAAGGGTCTTGGGCAAGGCTAGATCGGACGCGTGACCACAGCACTGATGCCAGGACACCATCCGCACCGTAAATCCACAATTTCATAGATCGTAAAGCCCGAACATCCACAAACCGTGACGTTCGAGTGCTGTCCGTTTATGGAAGCTACCCAATCCATTTCTAGGAAGTCCTGAGAGAAGGTTGTGTGGACGATCTGTCTACTAATTCTCTGTTTAGGGGGCCTCTGCAGAGGAGAGGCCCCCCAAACCCTAAAACCCTAAACCCTCAAAGCCGCAAACCTGTTTTAAGGGACCTAACCCTCCAAACCCTAGAGCCCCAAACCCCCTGGTCTTAAACGCCCCCGACACCATGTCGCCCACACCCCCAAGCCCAATTCACGCCTATCTTGCTTCGGTGAAATCCGGACGGCCCCCGTGGGCGTGATCACGCCCTCGAGCTGCAAGACTCCTCCGGAAAGCTTCACATGTCTGTTCTCCGTGTGTGTGTGTGTATATACACACACACATATATATATATATAGAGTAAGGTTTAGGGGTTTAGGGGTTTAGGCTTCGAATCTTAGTGGCTTGCAGTATGGGGCTTAGGCCTTCAGGAAGGCCAGGGCTTCTTGGCTCCTGGCTTTCCAAACCCTAAACCCTAAACCCTAAACCCTAAGCCCTAAACCCTAAACCCTAAACCCTAAACCCTAACTTAGGGCTTTGGGGTCTCGGGCTTTCCGGGGATGTTACAGTGGAAACCCCAAAAAAGGCCGGAATCCTCAAGAGTAAGGTAGAGGGGAATCCCCCTTTGTCCTTAATCCGGGGTTCTAGCTTGTTTGGGGGGTTTAGGGTTTAGGGTTTAGGAGTTTAGGGTTCAAGGGTTTAGGGTTTAGGGTTTAGGGCGTGAGTTCGGACGACTCCTCGACTAAGCTGTAGTGGGGTGGCTGGAGTTGTGTGTACTCGGTGGGGACTACAAAAGCTCCACAACCGCTCCCGAAAGCCTAAACCCAATACCTTCTACGCTGAACCCAAAGCTCTGCGTATGCCCTATACCTTTTTTGCAGCAGGCTTGCGTAGTCTCGCCTGGACACGCCGAACCGGTCGTGTTCACTATTACACCCTGAACCCTAAACCCTAAACCCTAAACCCTACACCTTATACCCCAAAATCCTAAACCCTAAACCCTTTTCCTTCTACCCTAAACCCTAAACCCTATACCTTATACCCGGAACCCTAAACTTACATCTACGAAAGGGCATAGATAGGGTTTAGGGTTTAGGCGCTTAGGGTTTAGGCTTTAGGCTGTAGGGGTTTAGAGGTTTAGGGTTTAGCGACCAAGACCCTGAACCCCAAAACCCAAGCCGCCAAACCTGAAGCCCAGAAACCTGCCAGTGGCTGAGGCTAGAAGAGGAATCAGAGTAAAGAAACCCACCGCGAGCTCATAGAAAAGCAGGAACGAGAAACCCATGCGGACAGGTGGACTCAGATCACAACCCAAACCTTTACCGAATCCCACGCACCACAAGACAGAAACCTTTGAAGCTCGTTTCGAGGAATTCCGAACCCAGGTACCTCCATGCTCTTCACGATAGTTTGGGTTTGCGAAGTAAATGGCCACCAGTTTCCGGGGATCGCGCACGAAGCCCTGCTCGGTGTTCCAGCTATACCTTTCGGTTTGGTTCGGCACCGCCTAGACCCTAAACCGATCCCTTTTCGACATCTTCTAGAGACCTTCTGATAGACCCGAAAGCCTATACCCTAAGCTTCCAGGCTTTTGTTGTTTTCAGAGTGCTGCGTTTCAGCTTTGGCGGTGTTTGTGGCATGGGGGACAGATGGAACCAGCCCTGAGTTCCCCAACGGCTTGCGTTTACTATCGATGACGGGAAACTATAATATAGGGGCCTTAAAAATTAGAATAGGGATTTGCGGTCTAGTATCATTATGATCATTAAGGCCTCTATAATATGAGTATGTGTGGTCATCCTTTTCACTTCTAGCTCCCGAGCTCCAGACACCTTGCGCCCGAGATCTAGCGCCGGGAACGGGCTTGGGGGTTGCGGGTTTAGGGTTCCTTTTTAGCAGCCCCTAAACCCTAAACCCTAAACCCTAAACCGGGTTTAGGGTTTGTGGTTTAGGATTTCGGGCCATGGTTTTGTGCTTTCCAGTTCCATGCTTTCGAGGACTGACTGGGCAGGGCTGATGGTTCCTCCCAGGCCCAGGTGCCCTTTTTTCTTTTTTGTCCAATGTCTTAGGGGAACTTAAGGTTAAGCTTGGGGATAATAGAGGAATTATCATACAGCAAGAAAGATTGAAAAGTACCTGCTCTCTAGTACTAAGAGTATAGACAAGGCCTTGAAGCTCCTATCAGGTCTCAACAAACTCTGTAGGTTTTAACGCCACCACCCTTACGGATCGATTTGCAAGATTTTCATGCACTCGTTGTGGAGCTTCTCCACGTTCGCGTCCTGTCGGTTGAATCTGATTGCTTAACCTCCACAACCCCTGCTTCCGCTTCCGATGCGGCCTAAAGCCCTACGACCCTTCAGCACGTTTCTGTACCTCACATCCCTCATAACTCATGAGCCTAACTAAAGGCGTTGAGGTATGCAGTTCAGAAACCCGAAGCCACTCAACTCCCGAAACCATTCTGCTCTACATCCTTCATCCCGTGTATAGCCCTCAAACTTCACAACCCTCGTTAAACCCGAAACCCCAAAACAAACCAGATCCCCCCCCCCCTCCCCCCGCCATATACATGGGAATATCGTCCCGGGTCCGGGGCCCGGATGCCCAGGGGGGGGAGGGCGGTCCGCGACTAGAGACGAGAAAAGGCATATTACGAAAACCCCAAACCCTAAACCCGAAACCCTGAACGTTTCGTTCTTTTCTTATAGAGCCGAAGCCCAGGGCACACGTTGCTCACCCGCCGGTCCATCCGGGCTCCTCCACTGAAGGGGGGCTTCGTTTCGGGATTTTGGTTCTTCCAGAGTTTCGGGTTTAGGGTTGAGGGTTGTTCCAGAATACTGTGGGAATCTTACACGGCGGGCTCTATAGGGAGTTGTTTTGCCCGAACAAGGGGTTTATGAGTTGTATCAGCCAGCACTGTCTTTTGGTGTCGGTTTGAAGGCTTGTTTGTTGAGGAAATTTTACAGCTCTTTTGCACAGTCTGAAGCGTAAGGGTGCCACTTTTTCGGATTCACAGGCTTATGGTTTGCAATGAATGTCTGGCTCCGTATGACCTGTGTTAGATTGCCGGCTAGCGCTCGGACCAGGGCTGGAAACAATGTTTATTGAAAAAGGTTCGGACATTCCCAGCTGGGGCTGAAGGTTTAGCGGAGGGTCTTGAAACGGGCTCCTCGTTTTGCCGTGTTCCTCGAGGTCGAGTCGCAGGGTGATGTTCTACGGTGTGTGTGTGTGTGGAAGTTTCGACGATGATTCAATTGATAGGTTGGTTCAGGATTGGGGATGTAGGGTCTCGGGTTTACTGCAGGGGTTGGGGTTTAAGGATTCAGAATCCCAGAAAGCCGAGTCCTTGGCCACAAAGCACGAAGAGCTCGGCTATACCCTTCGTGTTCGACAGCCCGCCATCCGTCAGCTCCCCCAAAGGCTCTGCAAAGGCGACAAGGAGACTTCTGGTGAAGTTCACGATGGTGGGGCCAACATCATACCTGGGATGAAAGGCTGCGGGGATTCGATTGCTGCTGCTGCTGCTGCTGCTGCTGCTGCCGCGGCTGCCGCTGCCGCTGCCGCTGCTGCTGCTGCTGCTGATCCTGCTCCTACTGCTAGTACTACTACGACTACTGTTACTACTGCCGCTGCTACTACACTGCTACGACGACGACGAGGACGACGACGACGACGACGATGACTACTCCTCCTCCTCCTCCTCCTCCTGCTGCTGCCGCTGCCACGAGCGGCCCTACTGCTTTTCTGATGTTAGTTTCACTGGCCGTGTTCCGATTACTTGGATGGAGTCGGGTCTGGGAGTTAAGGCGTTTGGATAGAAATACTAACCGTTTCAGGCATAGCAGCTGATTCTCGATAAGCCTTTCTGACTTCTCTTCGCCACTGCGGCCCTTGATGCGGTATCGGAACCGGTGCTCTCGATCCTGGCATGGGGTTCAGGGCTTGGGGTTGGGGGTCTAGGCATCTTGAAACTCATAGGGTTGGTCAGAAGGATCAAGTTGCGAGCCCCTTAAATACCCCTTTTGAAATGAGGAAACACACACCCCAGCACCACCTTAAACTTTGATTACAACGACAGGAGCAACAACCGAACACACAACCTCACACCAACACACTCAAACAAACAAAAACAAACAAACACACGAGCAGGCATGCAGGCTAACTAACCAACCAACCAACCAACCAACCAACCAACCAACTAACTAACTAACTAACTATAACTAACTAACTAACTAACGCAAGGAACCAATGAATTGCCCCATGTAATAGATAGATATGCAGTGCATGTGTGTGTCTATCCATATATCACAGGTACACAACTGAACCTGTGAATGATTTCAGTCAAAGATGCGCGCAAACATCTGTCTATCTTTCTATCGGTCTATCTATCTACCTACCTATCTATCTTTTTACCTATCTATCTAGCGATCGGCCTATCTATCGATGTATCTGTCTATAGCTATCTTTATACATAACATGCTCATGCATTGTTATGGGTTTTTACTTACGTGCTTACTTACATTCATCTATACGAAACCAGCAGACGTCGCCCTAAACTCGAAGCCCTAAACCCCAAACCCTAAGCCCTAAGCCCTAAACCATAAACCCTAAACTCCAAACCCCAAAAACCCCAAACCCCAAACCCCAAACCCCAAAAACCCCAAACCCCAAACCCCAAACCCAGAACCCAAAACCCAAACCCCAAACCCCAAACCCTAAACCCCAAACCCCAAAAAGCCCAAACCCCAAACCCATGAAGGTGTTCGGCGTATCCGACTCCGGGAGTTCGGGGCTTGGGGGTTGCGAAGGGCCGCTGGGTTCGGGTCTTTGAGGTTTAGGGTTTTTAGGGTTTTTAGGGTTTTTAGGGTTTTTAGGGTTTAGGGTTTAGGGTTTAGGGTTTAGGCTTTAGGGTTTAGGGTTTAGGGTTTAGGGTTTAGGTTTCCATCCCACTCAGCTTGGACGAGCCCGCATTGCAGGGTGAGTTCGGATGGCTTTAGGGTTTGCGGTTGTGGATTTAGGTGTTAGGGTTTAGGGTTTTAGGGTTTCGTAGGGTTGAGGGTTTCGTCTCGGGTTAGGGGTTTACGTCATAAGGTCTAAGATCTCGGGAAAGAACCACATCGTACAGACAGAAACCTGACACGAACACAGCCAGAAACGCCAGTCCAAGCGCCCATGGCAACCCAGAAGCCCTGAACCGCATACCCTAAAAAGCCGTCAAAAAGTAAAGGCTCAACCAAAAAAATCTGAAAGCTAACCCAAAAACCGCAAAAAAGCTCTCTCCAGAGTGGTGCCTGGTTCGTGATGCGATAGGGGCCTAAACCCTAAACCTTAAACCCTAAACCCTGGATGGATACCCTGGCAACCCTAAACCCTAAACCCGAAACCCTGGCAACCCTGAACCCTGAACCCTAAACCCTAAACCCTGGCCTGGTTCGTGATGCGATAGGGGCCGATCTTGAACTGGGCATCCGACTCGGGCTCCTCCTCAAACCAGCCCTTGTCGAACCTTGGCTTCCGGTGGCTCCTTTTAAACCGGCAACAATTTGGGGTTTAGGGTTTTACAGTTTTAAACCGGCAAAAATTAGGGTTTAGGGTTTAAACCGGCAAAATTTGGGGCTTAGGGTTTCGGGCTTTGGGCGTCTGGGGTTTATAGTGTGTAGGGCCTTGCTTTGCTGGGCTGGGCTGAGGGGTATCAGGGTTTAGGGCTGAGGGGTGTAGGGCTTAGGGTCCAGGGCCGGGGTGGTCCTTCCCAATTCCTTTTTTTTCGGGTTAGTGTTTCTTGGAAGGTTCTTAAAAAGAAAATTCTTGTGTGTCTTTAACCGCTTCCTTTATGGGCTTACTCTGCGGCATGGCTATCGGTGTAGAGTTAGGGTTGAACTTTCAGGTTTTTGGGCCTACCCTGAACCGTGCAAAGAAAGAATAGGGTAAGAAGACAGGGCGCATGCTCTTCATCTCATTCCGAAGCTGGTCTGGGTAGCCGTTGGCCGAGCCGCCTAGAAAGCCGTCCACCTGCATGGGACTCCAGAGTTTGCTTTTCGGGGCCTAGTGATTTGAATTTTGGGGGTTGAATCTGTGGGGATTTAAGACTTCGGGCTCTATGGGCTCTATGCACAGGAGGGTTTAGGGTCTAGGGTTTAGGGTCTAGGGTGGTTGTATGTTTTTGGGGTTCAAAACTCAGGCTTCGCAGCTAAAGCCTTTTTGAGGGCTCCCAACACCCCAAAAAGCTTTACGACGGGGCTCGATGAGCAACCCATTTAATCAAGAGATGCACTACGAGCAGAGCCCCAAATCATAGAGGGATTCTCCATCCTGCTGTTGAGGATTATACCCCCCGAAACTAGGGAAAGATGACTTAACACGATTTAAGGTATCTTCCGTTATCCTCGACGAAAGGCGGTACGCCTCTCTAAGGAGTTTCTGGTAGCAGGTCGGTAATGCCAAAAAAACAAAGCAGCCCTGACTCAAGTTGCGAAGCCATGCCTCCAAAGTTCGATCTCTTCGGATTTTTTGGGGCTTAGGGTTTGCCGCTGAAGGGGAAAATGAGGCTAAGGTTTGGAAACCTCCTTACAAACGACCCGTATCCCAAACCCAAAAAAAGCCTGCGAGTAGCCGTACTGGTCCAGCTGGCGCATGATGGCCTGCATGTTGCTCAGGACGACATAGGACACGCGAGCGCCCAGCTGGGACGACTCCACGTCCTGTCACGCAAGGTTTGCGGCACAACTGCCGAAGGTTTCAAAAGATTGGGCTGAACCCTTATTCCTATACCTGAAACCCGAACCGCAAACCTTAAGCCCTGAACCCTAATCCCCCAAAAATACCAAATTGGAGGTGTCAAGATTCTGGGGTCTGGGGTTTGGATTCTTTAAGGCTCATTTTTTCTGCCGCGTTTACTCCAAGGTTCCCTACAACTTTTGATGGTTCTTTTGGTTTCTTTCCTCCTTCTCGAGGGTCTGGGGCTTTCGCAGTTGAGGATTTAGGGTTTTTGAGTTTAGGGCTTTCGGGCTTGAGCAAGGAGGGCCGATTGAGAACAGAAAGGCTCCCAGCTAAGCCCTAAAGCACTCAACCCTTAGACTTACTTGCTGGAGCCTGGAGCCCGAACCCCTGAAACCCCAAAAGAGAGGGATGCGGGACACGGTTTAGGGGTTTAGGGGTTTAGGGGTTTAGGGGTTTAGGGGTTCAGGGTTTAGGGTTTCGACTTCTAGACGAGCTAACCTAACGAGCTTCCGGAAAAGCCCTAAGGCACATTTCGCAAATCCTCGTTGCAAGGGCCCTAAACCGCAAAGGGTAAGCCCTGGACCTACAAGTCTTGAACCAAAGAAAGTAGGCTTCCCTGCCGTGTCCTTCTTCGCACAGCCTCAAACAAACCCCACAAACCCCTTTAGCATTAAACCGGCTGCTAAGATGTATTCAGCCCAACATCAGACCCAGCATTGAACTTGCAATGAGACCCACTATAAAAAACAAAAACCTGCTGCTAATCTCACCATGAACCCTCTTGCTAGACCCACCACGATCTACCCCGTTGCTAAACCGACAGGTTATGAAAGTCTTGGGCCCCACCTCACCAGATCTAACTTCGAACCTTGCAGGGAGCAAGCCTGAATCCCGAAACCCCCAAAGCCCTCCATCCCCTTGAAGGCCCTGAACCCTGATAAACCCTAGTACACCGCAATAAACACGACGAAACCCTGGCATATCCCAATGTGGCAATAAACCTGAACAAAAGCCGAATAAACCCTCATGAAACCCGACTAAACCCCGATAAACTCTACTAAGTCCTGAACGTGTTCAATTAGAACCCCAACTGAGTCCTTCTTCTGCTCTTCCGCTTCGGGGGCTGGGCCGAAGGCTGCGGCGCGCGCGCTGCGGCCGCGGCGCCTTGAGGCAGCCAGGCAGGCCACCGCGGCGCCTGGGATGGTTTGGGTTTAGGGTTTAGGGTTTAGGGTTTAGGGTCTAGGGTCTAGGGTCTAGGGTTTAGGGTTTAGGGTGCTAGAAATTGTCTTTAGGGTTTTCTTTTCAAGGTACTATATGTAAGAGGTCTCCAAGGATTCCTTTTCAGAGTACTAGAAGGGGCCTGCAAGGCTTTATGAGAAGTTTTGAGGTGCAGGGTGTAGGGTTCAGGGTTTTAAGTTTTGGGGGTTCATGATGCAGGGTGCGAGGGATCGTATTGGACTGTATCGGTGGTTTAGAATCAAAAGCTTCCAGCAGGATACTGCAACAGCTCCGAGTTCTATGAGGCCATAAAGATTCTATAGATTCTATAGGTGTTGGGGTGTTAGGGCTTTTGTTTGTTGGGCTGATAGTTAGGGTTTAGGGGATGAGGTTTCCAGGTTAACGAGCTGCTAGAGTTCATGTCTCTTGCGGGTTTAGGGTTTGGACTCTCGCAACAAGGTTTAGGGTTGGGTTTCGGAGGTTTCGGCGTTCAGCCTTCACACGCATGTGTTCTTTGGGAACCCCAAACAAGACGTGGTACCATCGATCCAAGTCCTTCACACCCCGCCGCTAAAATCCTCGAAAGCTCCTAGTGGAACACTTGTACAAGAGACGCTTATGAAACCTCCCCTGAACCCTAAACCCTAAACCCTAGAATCCTTTCAGAACCATAAACGCGTAGACGGGTTCAAGGCTCGGCGGGTCTCGCGGGTAGAAGAGAGTTCTACAAGGGCTATGGACGTTTCAGGGGTTAAGCCCTAGAACTAACACAGAGCACCTAGACTCTACTTTTGCTGCAAGGTCCCAAAGCCCTAGAAAAAGCCATTCGTAGCGGGACATTAAGGTGTAGCTCACGCGCTCGAAGGCTCGCGTGTTTTTGGATTGGTGTTCTAGCGCTTGCTTTAGGCTTTGCAACGGTTTTAACCGGCGTTGTGGGCTGTCTTGATGTTTATAAAGTGTTTATAGCGCGCCATGAAGGTTGTAAAGGTTATGCCAAAGTTTCGCATGGTTGTTTAAGGCTTGATGCTGCTTGAAGAGCAGTGTCAAAGGTTGTAAGTTTGTTCATCTCAACCAACAGAGAGAGTCTAAGCTACTAGCAGGGGCTACTAGTAGTGGGTCCATAGGGTATGTAGTACAGGCGTATAGGCACTATGAGGGGATGGTTTTTAGCACTTCGAGGTTCAAGGCATGCATGCCTTGCCCCACTGAGTCCCAAATCTAGCTGCCTTTCAAGGTGCACGAAACACCAAGGCCGGTCGCACCCGATTTTGGGGGTGCCGAGGGCGTGCGCTGAGGCGCAGGGCGCGGGGGAACTCGGGGAGCCGCCTTCCGCCAGAGAGTTGAGATTTCGGAAATTGAGATGAGATTCCAGCATCTAGATAGTGCCAGTGGACTTTGCTGAAGAGTTTCAGGGTCAACTGGCATGGTGCTTCAATGTGTTTTTAGGACATTTCGCCTCCATGCTGGCTCCATCTATGCCCGCTCAACGGGGCTGAGGGTGAAAGACTGTGACTGTCGTTCTTGAGTTTGGGGCTCGCCGGCTCAGCTTTTCATGTATTATGAGACACAAAGGTTCAGATTTGGGATTTGGGGGGGTTTAATTAGGGCCTTTAGGGTTTCGGTTTGGTCTAAACCCTAAACCCTAAACCCTAAACCCCTAAACCCCTAAACCCCTAAGCCCTAAGCCCGAAAGCCTGAGGAGTCTCGGGAGTTTGGAATTCAAAGGAGAGGGTTCGCGTTGCTCGGGATTTGGAACAGCGAGCCCGGCCCGAACCCCTTCAGTAAGGGGGCTATGTCTTAGGGTTTAGAGTTTCGACTCCTACAGGGTTTAGGGTTTAGGGTTTTGCTCGAAGGTTCAAGGACCATTGTACATACTGCGTAAGGTAGAGGGTGAGACCGTAAGTACTCCGACAGATCATGCTGTGGGCCTAAAGGTAGAAGGTAGGATCATAAGTACACCTGGTTTTAGCTAGGCCCATGAACAAGCATAGCTGTGGCGTGCCAGGCCGTGAAGACTTTAGGCATGCGAGCAATTTTACACTCACCAACATCTTCAAGAGCCCTACATACACCATATGCTCGAATAGACACCCTACTTCAGAAGCACTCAACGCGTGAGCCTGTAACCCCCAAGCCTGGAGACGCTGCACCTTAAACCTTCTTTAACCCCCTGCCCCAAGCCAGAACAGCCTGCAGTTGCACAAAACTCTGCGCCGTCTCCAGCCCAGGTGTCTGCATCGCGCCGGGGCGGCTTAGGCTTTGCGCCGCGGAAAACGACACTAGGCCGTGCACTTGGGCCCAGAAGGCAGCAGGTGTACACAGTGTTTCTTGCTTGCATGAGCAGCCGTACAATTCGCGCCTGTTCAACAGGGTTGAGGGTCTGGGGCGAAACCCCAGTGCTTAGAGGGCTTGGGGTGATAACTACATGGACAGCAGGAGCAGACATTGATGTCAGAAAGCCTTCAAGGAGTGGGCTTCAGGGTAATACAGATCAAGAAAGCAAGCGATCAGCAACCAGAAGGCTGTGAGCCAAATCGCCAAAGGCCGCGAATATGGTGCTATTAATAGCAGTAATCACAACCACAATGATAAGACGACTTGTTTGGGCTGAGAGTTTGGCAAAACGGAAACTAAGGTGTGCCTGCAAACCGAAAGCTGAAAAAGACCCTACTCCGTTTAAGGCTTAGATTTTAGACTGTGGGATTCTTGGCCGGGGTTTGGGACGCAGCATTCTCCCAAGCTATGAGTTTAGGGTTAGGGTTTGGGGTTTAGGGGTCAAACCTGTCAAGGATGTTGCATCATTCTGGGGGGACCTCTTCTCCAGCAGACCTGACCTTCCAAACAGCACAGATACAGGGGGGTAGCAATCATCTGTGGGCACGTAGGAGCTGTAAAGGTGCACTATGGATAAGTATTTCCACCCCTGTATCAATATCAATTGCTACTATAGAGAGTCTTGGGAAGACTTGGGCTTCTTGAGTTTACAGTCCTCTGAACCCTAAAACCCTAAACCCTAAACCCCAAACCCTAAACCCCAAACCCTAAACCCCAAACCCTAAACCCCTAAACCCCCAAACCCGAAACCCTGGGCCGAGCCACCAGGAAACCAGCGGCGGCCTGTCCAGCTTGCAGGAGATCCTTCCTCAGGGCTTGGAGGTTCGACTTTATTCTTCTTCTTGGGGTGGCCTAAGGGGCTTGGGGATTTAAATGGTTAGGGCTTTAGGATTTGGGGTTCTAGGGTTTAGGGTTTAGGGTTTAGGGTTTAGGGTTCTAGGGTTTAGGCTTTAGAGGTTCAGGGGGTTTCGTGCTGCAGGAGTAGGGTTTCGGTGGTTAGGGTTTTGGATTTCAGGCTTCGGGTTCGGGGGGTCGGGCGCAGGGGCATGGCCACACGGGAAGGTATCTTGAGGCCGACATGTGGAAGTCTACTGCCAAAACCGCTGGGATCAAGTTAACCGGTCTCACGTGCTTCAATCTCGAAGCTTAAAGCCTCCTGGAGCCTGAGAAACAGAGACGTTCCGCCCTAAGAACCCTACAATGCACAATCATCATCCCCACCCCTCACCCCCTTCCCCCGCCTGAAAACAGAAACTTCGCCGAAGTACTAAACACTCTTCCCTGAGCAAGCTCAGCGTCGAGATGTCCACACGTAACAACTTGCTGCGCAGAAATGCCGACAGCCTCAGCTCCCATATGGCTTAGGGGGCTTTTG